GTTAACATATATTTTCTGATAGTGCTGTTTTACTTCTTACTATATAATGACCTAAAAATGAATTAAAAAAATGTTGGTATATCCAATTTTTGTGTTTCGGATTTATTGGAGATAAAAATTTGTGGTATTATTTCTCTCTTTTGACTCGATTCTCTTTATTACGATAATCCATAAAACTTCGGCAACTTAAACTATAATAAAACAAGAATATTAAAATATTTATTGATAATATCAATAGTACATTTTTATATATTCATAACGAGAGAGTTAGACGGTGGCTTCAATGTCAATAATACATAGGTGGATTACCAGCCTCCGCCTAGTATTATGGTAATGGAACCCAATCATGGACTTTCTTTGTACATTTACCAAAGTAATGTCTTTAAATATCGACAGACCAGAAGAACAGACCAGGACCTCTCGTCTGTTCTTAAGAAACGATTCTTAACGTTCATAGAAGCCGTCATAACCGTCTATCACCGTTTGTGCTGCATTTCCAAATGGCCTTTTTACTCGATTGTTGATCACATCAAACGGTACACTGATGTCACAAATGCACATATAGTATCTGAAGAGCAGCAGAGCCATGAGTATAAAATTATTACTATTATTAATTTACAATTAACTTTTGTGTTTATTTACTCTACTGATAATAAGATAAAGTTATTGTATTCTTTTGTTTACGTTTTATTAGTTGGAAAAGCACTACTGATAGAAACTGAATAGCAAGGGGCAGGGGTGTTAAACCTTTCCCTAGGTTAGACTTGCATGGCTCGTCGTTCTATCGGTCTGCGCCCGCGCACAGTATAGTCGGGCTGTGTGCCAACGCGCATGCGTGAAAGTGAAATGAGTGACAACACATGTGCTTAGTGAAGTTGGTGTGATAGAAAATTAGTAAAAAAAATATTGTTCTTCTCTTTAAAAGGCTGGCAGTGTGATAAAGAATATATTTTTGGTGACAATATTTAAGATTTATGAGATTTTTTTTTAAATTCTACGCTCTCTAAAAGCGTCAATTTTCGGAATGTCAATTTTGTAAAAAATATTATACGCCCCCTTTTCTATTAAAAATATAGAAATAAAAATACGCGGACAAAACTCATAATCAAAAGTGAAAGTTATTGAATATTAAGTAATAAAAAATACGAGTAATTCTTAATTAAATTAAAGAGCCAACATCACCAATAATTAATTTACTATATATCTATTTATAGAAAATATTATATTTGCATATAAAATCGATATTCATATATAGTATACAATAAAAATGAAAAATTAATTAATTCGTACAACGTTTATAGCAACATTGGCAAGTCGCTTTGTAATATTTAGAAATTACAATATATATATATACAAAGATGAATTGTATAATTTATAATAATAAACATAACAGCTGAGGATCTGGTCTAAAGAGACAAACTAGTGAAAATATGTAATCTAAAGTATTTTGTTATAATCATATCCGTGAAGATTATCTGTTCATTAGAGGTAGTGTCAGGTCTTACCTCCGTTGCATTATAAATTATCGAAAAATGCATTTCTTTGGAAGTCATATTAACATTTAAAAGACGAAACGTTTTCAAAGAATAGGATAGGCCTTCAGGTGTCTTTTTAACTTCTACGAGTAGAACTTACAGTTATTTCAAATGCTGACTATACATAAAACTTAAGACCAATATAAGTTGTTTGATAGTCTTAATGATAAATTAATTTCCAAATATTTATTTCAAATTAGAATAAAAATTGAAAGTATTACAAAAGTTATATCACGAAATTGGAAGCAAACATAATTCCAATTCGGCTTTTAAATAAGTTGAAATCCGGTCTGATATTAAAATGAGAACTATTATGATGTAAATGAGTGGTTTTTTTAACCCATCGTCGATATAGGAAACATAAGTAATTAGCATAACCAGTGGAAGTAAACAGCGTTGGAATGATACGGAAAGGTACATTTCCTATCAGAAAATTGTTTAAAAAAAGTATATAAATGTTTTTAATAACTGAAAACACGATAAATAATGAATGGAATTTAGTCTTCGAAATTTAACTCTAACATTTGTTACAGTGACTGTGAAGGTTTGAATCTGCTAAGTGCAACATAATCCCTATATTATTTTTGTTATTTATCATTATATAAGTTTATGATATTTATAATTATAATGTTTATAATTACTCATTCTAAAAACGTTTGAAAAAAAAAATTAAACAAAATTAAGCTAATTACTTTTACTATACTATATATAAATAAAAAAATACCGGTAGTTTTTATCTGTAGATTTTTATTGTTAAATTAATATTGAATTGGAATAAAAGAAACAGTGCAAAATATACTTATTATATATATTTAACTCTCCTTTGTTATTTTATTAATAATAATTCGATTATCATATCTTACTAATTCACATACATTGCTTTAAATTTAAATGCACTCAGTACACAAAGAACTATAAAAAGTTTTGGGAAATGATTCCGTTATTAATCAAATTTTATTTTATGTTAATACCAAATGACATAATCAAAGGTGTACGTTATGGGGCACTTAAGAAACAAGACTTGAAATTTTTTTGAGCATATTTTTTTCGTAAACCTTTTATGCACTGATTTTATTGTATAGAACATAATTAACAATCCTTTGGTTAGAGTATAACTGTAATTAATTTTTTTCTAAATATTCCCTAGTATCCCATAACATGAACCTTAACCAAAACAACATATTATTTACAAATTACAATTATTTTAAGAAATATCCCTTTCTCGTTAAGTCTTTTTAATTGTAACCATATAAAATTAAACTTAATTTTATAAAATATTATTATAATTGGGTTATATTAAGTTTTATTGAAAAGTTTTTACCGAAACTCACCTTTATAATTCTCTATTGAGTGGTAAAAAATATATATTTATGCTCACACACGGAAGATCAAACAAGTGAAGTAAAATGTGAGTAACACTAAGCTACGCCCGTGGCATTTCTTAATATCTATTGACGTTTCTATTTATAAGCTTTTTAGCTTCCATTGATAATTCAAATAATGTACGAAGTTGACTCTTGCTTGGTATTATTTACTACAAAAAATATTAAACACGTATTTTTTTTGCGTAATCAATCAATTACGGCGATACAATGACGTCACACCTTTGTAATGTACATTTTACATAGTTTTGACGTAGCGAGTCCCCACTTGATGCCTATTATCTAGGCCATTTCTTGTTGACGGACTAAATATTTTTTTCCCAGTCATCTTCTCTATTTCTGAGATAAGCCTGATTATAGACTTGTAAAAAAAAATAGTGGAAATGTTAAACTAGCTATATAATGCTAAGTAGAAGGATTATAAAACCAAAAAAAAAAATGATTGAAGTAAATAGCAATTAGATATATTCATACAATCCTAAAAGTTTACCGATAAAAGTGATATCGATCGTAAATCTATACCGATTAGAGAATAACGGCAACTAGTTTGCACCGAAAGCTTTCGCGGGTTAATGCATTTATTTATACACAATTTATTGCAAAAATTATACTAAAATATACATATTGATATGATGCTAATATAATAAATATTGTGAAAGATTGTATGTTTCTTATGTATTCATAATTCAGTATGTTATGTAATATTTGAATAGTCTGGATTAACATTATTAAGATATTTAATTTTATATTTCATACATTTTGCAATTAAAAATCCAACAAACAAATCTTATAGAAAAATATAGAATACCTTTAAAAGATTATCTAATTCCCAAATCTATGCATTTGAATTTATCGATAGAAAAAGTGATTTATTTAAAAATTATTAACGACACATTACAATGGAAAGTTCGTCAAAGTAGTTCTAATAATTCCAAGTTCCAAATATTATATTATTGGTCAAACTTCAATAGTGATCAGCTAATATGACTTTTTTAATCTAATTCATATTGAAAAAGATCAAAAATTCGTTGTTTTTAATGAACAAGACTAGTGATAAACACCTTACCTAGTATGTCTATCCGATTGTTTAAAGGTTTTTAGAATAGTCTGTAAGTTTATATTTATGCAAATAAACCGGATTGTACAGTGAACAACACGTCAGTAATATAAATCTGTCAAAAGTTTTCCATTTCATTTTAAACTTTAATCCTTTGAGGGTAGGCTTTAAAATCAACTGGAGAATTTCGTTTGACATATTGTGGTAAACTGACGTGCAGCACGGATTTAACTCTATTAAATTATATAGTACTAGATTTTCGTCAGCGACTTCGCACGCGTGGTCCCCAGGGAACTGTTTAGTGGGTTAAAAAGTAGCCTATATGTTTAAAATTATCCATATACCAAATTTCATAAAAATCTGATTAGTAGTTTCTGCGTGAAGAAATAACAAACATCCAAACAAACAAACTTTCGCCTTTATAATATTAGTAAGATATGATTATTTTATGTATATCTGTGGTATTAACAAACAAAAGGTAGGGTAGGGTAAAGGTAGCGTATCGGTAAACAGATATTTCACAAAGTAATAAAACATCAACGCAATGTTTTCGTTATTAATAAATTCATACATGTTCTAAAACTGAGTTCTGTCAGTTATTTAAAAATAAAATCAAAAGAGATATTAATAACATTTTCTATAGACGAAGCCATCATTAACATGCATAATAATAACGATTTGTCAATACGTAACACCCACCTCACTCGCATATTTTGATAGCATTTATCAAATTGAAATCAAGCTCTCTTTATCAGATGTAGTTAAGAAGATTGATTAGCCTGATCATGAAATAGCCATTTTGACGTTTACACAAACTATATTTAATATATCTTGCCAGCCTTTTAAATCATAATCATAGACAAATTTTGATAACTCTGATGTCAAAACAAAAATTACTGCTTCAGCGCATGACATGATTGTGATTATGTTACATCAGTTGTTAAGTGGTGTTTAAAAGCATAGATCTATTATTTATATGTGAATTTATAAGTGTTTTTAAAAATAAATCAATGACAATTGAAAAATATGGAGCAAAACGTTCAAATATCGAATGGCGTTCAGCACCCCGAGATAAATCCGAAAAATGATTTGAAAAGTATAAACTCTCCTATTGTGATTAACGTGGATGAAAGTGGCGCGAAAAGTGACGGTATAAACAAAATAGCGGACGGTGGTGGAAAAATTCAAAATGGCGAAGGTGAAGTGTCAAAGGACATGCTTACTGTACCAAGGAAAGAGCACAGGAAATCTTTTATGGAGGTGGAGTGTGCGAAAGAAAGGCAGAGGTTGTCTTTGTTAAAGCAATGTTCGGCCATTTTGAAACAGGGTGAAGAAAAATACACCAAGGAGTCTCTGCATAGAACATTCCAAGATGAGGTAAGAGTAACATTTAAACATTGTAAAATATTAATTTCAAAATTACAAATTAAAACTGGTAGATATCTATCTATGCCAACAATTCATTTTATATTATTTATTTATTTATTTATGTACATGGATGACCAACAGTTAAAAATTACATAATAAAAATCTTAGCTAAAAATTATATTTTATTGTTACCTAACATACATAGGTACCTATACCAGATGAGTGGACTATAGGAATAAGATTCCATATTAATAGGGACTATCTTATAATAACTTATATTATTTATTATACCTAATCTAAGTTGTACCTTATGATATATGTTATTTATTAGATATACATTCCCAAACATTTTGTACAGTTAACATCACATCAGAATATACAAATCAGACAAACTGCTGTGTGTACATTATTTACTTTACTTATTATACAAGAAAAAATGTAATCAGTGCATATTTTTTTTCATCGTTTAGTATATTTATTATATGTTAGTTTAGGTATATATTAATATTAAAATTGATAATTTAATATTATCTATGATTAGCCATGCTTATTTTAGTAGAAGTGGACGAATTGTACAGTAGGTATATTATAGAAACCTTTAATACATTTTTCTTTATCTCCGATGTTAACATGTTGAACATTGCCGTAATGAACACAATATAAAATTTTGTATACTGATTACATTATTTTCTGTGTCATAAGTACTGTTTTTAATAAATTAACAAATTGTATTGCCTAAGACCATACATTTAATATGACAAAACTTAACTGCATTATAATTCAAAATTGAAAAAAAAATAATAGTTATTAAAATGTTAGCTTATGTGAATATCTGATCAAAAAACACAAATGATAAATATTAGCTTAAAATTTAATAGAGTGTGAATTACATGTTTCCTTCATTAAGCACTCGTAAATCATTATTTACGAGACTTGTTTTAAACAACGCAATTTCTAATTTAAAAATTCCGGTCGTAACTTTCAAATCTGCAAGAATAATTAGTGTACATTTGTAGAAAGTCATTTAGATCTGATTTATAGATTAATTTATATAAGAAGATGACCTTCGCTATTATACTAATATAATATTATATGAGCAGGCGTTAGTTGCGAAGTTGAAATATAATAAGGTTAACCAAATCGTAAATGCCAAACAAATAATACGTTTGGCCTAAGTGAATTATTTTGTTGGTATTTCAGATTGACATATCTAAGGAGTTTCGTGTGGCGCTTGCTTTATTGGCGCTTGCTCTAAAAATTAATAGGTACTCATTTAATGTTTCGTCGTAATTAAAAACAAAGCAGCAATAAATATTTGTGCGATTTTGGTTTCATAAAAGTTATACTTTAAGACACATACTTTTAAAAAAAGTGAACAAAGACGAGGTTTTCTTGATCTCGCCAATTCACTAATCGAATTTTTGAAATAATTATGTTAATTTTTAAAATTCATTATATGTCAAAAAGAATCTGGTTAAAACCAACCAATCACTAAAAAAAACGTAAAACGTTAGTTATTGTTAAATTTGTATTCATTAGTTATTCGTTTAAAGAAATAAAAATGCTCTTTTAAATAGATATATTTAACATAGTTTATTTTTTATATTTGTCCAATAACCGAGAAAATAGTGATGAGCGTTTAATTGTACCTTTGGGTAGAAAAATAGGAGGTACTAATAATTAAATTAAATAAAAGAAATAAAGTCCAAAATAAGTTGTAAATTATAATGTATAAAAATATATATCATATTTGTCAACGATACTTAGTTCTTTTCTTCTCGTATACATCCTTTTACAAGCTGAGCCGGCGTAAGTACTTCGTATCGATATATACTCGTTTTTATAAATTATAAATCTTCTTGTATACAAACCTTGTCCTGACAATAAGGACACATAAAAAAAGAAACATTCAATTTGGTGCAGTCATTTGGAAGTTATACATAATATTTAGACGATATATATATATATAGATTATAGGAAAAAATGGCAAAGAACTGAGTCAATTTTTAGTGGAGCGTTTTTTCTAAGAACTTTTACAATAACAGTCGACGAATGTAAACTTAGTGATAGAAAGTATACTGCAATAAATTGAAAAAAAAATACCGGTAAACTCGTATCTGATATTTGAGTAAATGATATTAATTTATATATCTATCGTAGCATAAACAAGTGAAAGGAAGATAACATTGATACTTATGCTTCGCTATTAAAAAACGAGAAGTTAATGATAACCAACTTAGTAATTAAATTCTATTTACACGGTATGTTCCATACTAATTATAGAAGACAGTTACTTTTATTATAAGCTTTTACAGATTGTAATTCAAATTTTATTACCTTTCTGAAGAATTTTATCGGTCAAATAAGTTTTTTCAAATCCAATAGGTAGTTACAAAGATTAGTTCGTTCCCACCGGTATTAAATTCTTATTATAGGCGCGTTCAAACAAACTAATTTTTTAACTAATAAAGGATTACTTGGATCAACACACTTTATCGCCAAACATTCAAAAGGTCACAACCGTCCAGACACAAATCAAACTCGGAAATGTTTTGTTTTCTATATTGACTCGAAAGGAAATACTTTGTATATAGCTGTGCGCGTAAGGCACAAGGCAAAATAGATTATCAAAGGCAAATATACGTAAAACGCTATGTATATTTAAACCTAACAACCATTAATCATTGTTATTAATAAAATTGCTGACATGATTGTGGATAATATTTGATTACTCTTATTATTGAAATCGATATAATTGGCATGTTTAGACGGCGGCGTTTCGCACGCCTCGGAACGGCCGCGGCGTTGCTGGCCTCGATGGAGTACCATTTTAAGGTCTTACGCACACTATACCACTTCAAAGTCGCTAGACGATTAAGAATAAATAATTATTATTAGAAAGATAAAGATATGATAAATGTAAAATTATAGAAAGCAAAATTTATTGATATCAAAATAAAACTAACGTATGGTTGTTTGTTGTTAGACAGCAGTATGTTTTAATGTATGTTTTTAAACTGTTTATTATTGTTTGTTTACTGTTGCTCCTCTAATGATATTGTGTTATCAGAGCAAAGAAAAAAATGTAAAAATATACAGATATCATGAAGTTAGTAGGTCCATTAACGTTATTATTATTACTTTATTTATTTATTTAAGAAAACCAACAGCTAAAACATGGTTGAGATAATTAGACAGATGTAACTTAAGCCCCGATGTAACTATACAGATGTAACTATAACAGGTTTCCGTAGATATTAGCATTATCATCAAAAAGTTTTTCAGTATTTAACTATATATATTAAAAAATAGTAATATTTACTGAACTTTATATTAATATCAAGTATTTGAGAATAAGTAATTAACATTTATAAGAAAACAAATACCTCAATATGCAAATACAAGCAAATATGTATGTAAAAGTTAGATAAAATGTTGTTTCAGATAGTGGGTCAAAGATTTTACACATTAATTAAATATAGTCTTGTTTAAATAAACTAGTATTTTACAAATGTGACAAACTTCTATAATCGATTGAAATCATAATTTATTAAATACAAGGGTTTAAATATGATCGTACAGTGTAATTCTTTTGCAACTTTTTATACTATTTACTGTGTATACAAAATTAATTTTTTCTTTTCGTTTTCAAAGGCGCTTTTGTATGAAATAATAACAATATAAGTGGTATGTTAGTTACTATAATTGTATAATGAAAGGTAAACTTTATTCTATATATAAAAATACCAAAAAAAGAGCAATTTGTATCATGGTTAATAAACCAAGGATATACTATTGCTTTTAGTTGCCATCGAAAGAAATTGATTGTCCTGTGTGTCTGCGGTCGCTCGCGAAGTTTGTGCAGACTGCATGAGACAGACTGAGTGGGGCCATGAGAATTTCGATCACTATCTTATTAAATTCAATAGCTGTGTTGGTTTAATATAAATACGTAAGTAATGTAAATAATACTGAAACAATAACTAAAATAAGAAAACGTCATACACTATCTACATAACACTAGGATTACGGATCATCCTTGCGACTCGATCAAGGCTTTTCAGGTATCATTCCCCAGCAGAAGGTACACCGTAGGGGTTTATAGTGGGTAGGCCTTTGGTGACAGAAGAGAGTCCCACATCCCCAAACGGCAGGGAAGGCAGGGAACGGGAAATTACAGGACGAATAACAAATATAAAACTTTGACGAGAACTTTCCAACCTATCGCCAACACTTACAAAATATATTCACATAATTTATTCATAGTCGTTTATAGACATTACATATTTATTTTATGAAATACTATCGCGCTCTTAGTGGCTCTACGCCATGATTAACAATTTCGATATACGCTAAAACTTTCATAGAATCTAAAAAAATATATTCTGCAATATTTAGGCATCATTTTATTTTTATTTCTATTTGGTTTGCAATCATGATTTCTAAGAATTTTTGCATAGCTATGTTTAAGTTAATGCCACAGATTACATAAATGTGAACAAATTAGCAGTTGCACAACACCGGATACAGACGCTCAATCTAAAATAGCTGATCGATAGAAACCAATCAAAAATAGCTTATTTTAATAAGACTCACCATGGAACTGTCTGTTTTTTCTCAACACAAGTAACTCGTACAAAAGAAGAACTTTTCTATATTACTTTCGACGTTTCAGATTTTCATGACAGAAAAGCTGCCTCACTACTTAATTTGGGATCTGATCAATGGGTATTTTTATATCTCATAGTTATTATAATGATTAAAAGTAGGTATAAGTAAACTAACGTAAATGTGAAATGATAGTAATGGGAGAGAACCGAGTCGGAAAACATCAACGTTATCAAATAACTGATTGAAAACTGTCACCTACATGGATTACGATGTCAGATATATTTTGAGCGTCCGTTCTGCGACGATGGTATAAAGTAACTTTTGCAATGGTTTAGTTGGTTATGGTCACCAAATATTTATTATCGAGCTTCTACTTCGGAAGGCATGTTAAGCTGTGGTCACTGCTGCATCTCCAGTCGTGAACTACTAATACTCATGAAGATGAAGATGCGAACTTCTTCAACTTACATAGATAGCGACTGTTAGGAAAAGATATTATTAGCAGGAGGAAGAGAATTAAGGTGTCTGCTGGCACATATTAATATTCCTACAGTTCTTACATATAAGCTTACTGATTTATTCCTGACAATTAAGAATCCGTAAAACATGACATGAATTACAGTTAGGCAGGTACAACAGGATCGTATCTAGGGCATCAACTCAACAATGGATTAGCCTTGACCTGCGACTGCGCTTTGAGACAATTGTCGACCTCTATCTACAATGTAAGATTTCTCGTGGCTATGCTAAAGTAGCTTTTATTACATCGATACAAGGTAGCTGGGTTATCTTTATCACGAATTTCTTTCAATGGATGTTATCTGAATTTGAATGAATGATTTATTCACGAATTTCGGTTTTGATAATATTATTCAACTATCGCAAGAGTCTTACCATGACCTGTTGCAAATAGGTTTTATATTCAACTTCAGTTTGTTACAGTTCATATATTATAATCAGGATTTTATAAGATAGGGGTGGATCAGAGTTTATGATAACACAATAATAAAAAACAAGCGTTTGAATTAGAGTCATAACATTATCTCACTTCTAAATAGGGTTGCCAACCGTCTTGTTTCACCAGAAAGGTACCTCCTGGGTTTTTGAATTACCATAATGAGATCCTTTCACGCAGCTTTCGTTAATCTTATGTTACAGGCAACTCACGAATGTTTACACTATGCAGCTGGATCGTGTTAAAAAAATAGTTATAAACTGGAGTATTGTTTTCTATCTTCATTACTTTTCAATTCAATAACTTATACCTATTTTTATAAAAGAATGACAAAAGTTAAGTGTGAGTTACCAACGAGCCTGCAGAAAAGCTTTTATTCATAAGTGAAATACTCATTTAAGAACTGAAATTTAATACCGTTTCATAAAGAAAATACATTTTGTTTTGAAAATACTAAGGATTCGGGAGAACGCATGCTATACATATGTTGTTGTGACTAAAGAAAAAAAGAAGCAAATAATCGAGTCGCCTAGCAACATCTCGATAAACATCCAGAATTGTACAAATTCTGTATTTAATTTAATTAAATAAATTACTTATTTTTATTATTAAAATAAGCAAAATCCATACATTCAGTAATACTTCTGATAACTGGTAACCACAAAAGCGTCACAGTTATAAAAAGAATATACCTAATCAGTTCATAATTAATTAGCTAACTTATATTCAAACTAATTATGGATCTCTTGTGGTTTTATAAAGCAGTGGATGTGGTTTATGTTATTTATGTAGTAATGGGATTATATAAAAAAATAAGAATATGTCATAATTTAAGAAGATATTATTACTAAATAAACAAGAATTTGTACGAAGTAAGGACTTTTAATCGTTAGAATGCTATTTTCATTTGCTATTATAAATATTAACAGTTAAATCATCTAAATTTGCGTCTATTGGTTAAAAATATTTGTTTAAGTTATGAAATTCTCTCAAGTAATTACTTATCTCGAGTATAGCATTTATTCATATCATATTTTATCGTCAAACTGAAGCCTTCGTAACATAAAACATTCGCTAATATTGAAATAACCTCAATCATAGCAATATGTGTCTTTCTTTCATCAAATTTCAAATCCCTGAATAATTACCTAGTTGTATTACAAAAAGGCTGTTTTAAAAACCCACCACCACTTTTACCATTCAAAATTTTGTATTCATGCACATTTTTTATTTTATTTTGTATATGACTTTTATCCTCTCACGTTATAGATCATGTTCGATAGTAGTTCATTTAGTAGTACCGATACGTGTCGTGCGCATCCATTATTCATGTTGTCTCGTTGTTTTTATAAGGGGTGGGAGTGAGACGGAAAAAGTGTCGAATTGAGAGGTGTAGCGTTGATGGACAATTAAGGTTTCATATTAAAAGGCATTAGATCGTATCTGGTGTTGTGATGCGTGATGTTCTACGATGACTAATCTGAATTAAACAAGTAATGAGTGTAGGCTGCATTTTAAGTTTAAGAGTTTTATTTTAGAGTGTAATGATGTTTCATCTGACTTGGAAGAATTAATAAAAAAAATAATTGACATCTGCTTATTATCCCGCATAAAAGACGGAGTCATAAAAAGTGATTCAGATATTAATAAATCAAATCAAAATCATTTATTCGTTCTAGGCTGTTAGATGCATTTGTGAAAGTCTAAACTCTATACTATGGGTTCGTAAACGTTCGTGAATGGGACTCGGCAGAAGAATCGGCAAGAAATTCGGCAAGGGCTGCTTTTATAATAATAAATATAAGACATCATCACTCACATTCTCGAAATCCAATACACACTTACACACCCCAATTACATTTGCAGGTAATATAGAAATTTGAAACAACGAAGGTACAGATTAGAAACAATATAGAAAAGTTCATTTAATACATTGACCCGTCAGATCTTATAATAATATTCAGGATGATTACAAACGTTATTTAATTATGTCGTCAAAGCCAAATCCGAGATTAAATTAACTTGTAAGGGATTTTACAAGTTATTTTTTTAGAAATTAAAACGAATAACTACTAAAACAGAATATCATCGAGTATTCTTGGTACCTAAAAAGGCCCACTGTTTTTGAAAACACTTGTGCTAAATTAAAAACAACTATAAATGCTCAAATACAGAATGGAGTATGCTGATCCTCTACAGACCATCATCATTGTGTAGAGGAAAGGGGTAATGGTATATGGTGGTGGACAACAGTCATTCGGGTAAATA